ATCTCGAGGCTAAGGCAATATTTTTCTAAAATATTGAATTAGCCGTTTTTAAAAACCGGCTCAAAACGAGCCGTTTAACAACACTAATTGATACCCAACTCAAGAAATCCTACATCCAAGGAAATTTTTTAATTGGATGAAATATATTTAAAATTAAACATAGGATTAAAGGTTAGAGAGATATTGGTTATCCTGTATTTCACAGTTAGCGCCAATTAGCGTCGAAGTATAACTGAATTGCAGCATATTTTGTATGTTTCGCGGTGGAATTCGAACTAACTGTGAAATGCAGGGTTTAAGGTGTGCGATATGGGTTAGGGTTAAATATATATATAATAAAAATATTTCTTAATATTTTTAATTTATTTTATAACTAGTCAAATCTGACGTCATATGATTAAAAATAAATTCTTTGAGGCCGACCATAATCGTATCGTATATATTCACATTGTGTAATCTGTAAAATTCTAATTTTAGGCGAATGTTTTTAGTTGAATAAATTATTTTTTTTAGATGTTATCATCAACATTTTCATGAAACATTTTGTAATATTTTAATTTATTTTTTTTTAAAAAAAATACTCATATTAGTTTAATTATTCCAAAAAAAAATCTATAATATTTACATTTTTAATACTAATTTAGAGGCAGAAATGGTTATAAGGATAATAAAATTAAACTATGGCTCATTAAGATAAACCCCGTTATAAAAAAAATCGGCAGTAAATATTTTATCTGCCAAAATAAAATGAATCTATATAATAATATTAGTCTATCCTCATAATAAACAAAATATTTCTAGTATAATCATGAACCATTGAACCTATAAGGATTCATTAGATGGGGTTCCATTGGCTCTTTGTTACTCAACATTATATCTTAATGAGATTCCAGTGTCTTTGCAACTCACAAAAAAAAGTAGAAAGTTGAATAATGCAGAATTTAGCCACCTGGAAATTTTTTTAGGTAATATAAATTTTAAAAATAAATAAGTAACTTTTCCCCTTGCTTTCGCATTATAAATCCTTCGTAAATAATCCAAAATATTTTTCAGTTAGATTTAAAACATTTTCCCCCTTTTGGCGCATTTTTAAAATTTTTGATATCCTAAAAAACGTTAATTTGGACATAATATTAAAGATTAAAATTATCAATTAAATATTCTTTCAAAATATATCATATAATTTGCCACTTTTATTTAATAACATATTTTGTAACATTATAAACTAGGAACCAAGAATGAACCGCTAAACCTTTATAAACCTTTATAAACCTTTATAAATATCTGAACCTTAACAGAACCGATATAATTATTTTTTGAAGGAGTAAAAAGAATCTTTATAAAAAAGTTAAACTGGGTTTATTGGTTTAAACCAAAATAAAATAAATATTTTTATATTTTTTTAACATTCTTTTCCTTGTGGTGAATTGCATATTTTATGGGTTGTTATATAATTATTAAATGATCAAAATATTTATTTAATATCCGTAAGAAGTATTTAATTTTTTCACTATGACTTAAATTGATCCACAATCTGCTTCATATAGTATTGAAGCATTCCTATCTTCTATATTTTAATATGCAAAATATCTAAATAACCAATTTTTGATTAAGTTGCATTTAATTAATCTAAAAAATCATCGGTTTTTATGTATTGAGAATCAAAAAAAATTTAAATATCCAGAATTATAGAAACTAGCTCTTATAGTGCTTATTGTTCCCGTAACACATGTTTCTGTTAAAAGGGCTTTTTCGGGGTTAAGTGTTATTTGTAAACAAATGTGAATCCACTTATATTGGAAAATACATTACTTATACGTTCAAATAATATATTTATAAATGAGTTATAATTCTTATATATTTTTTTATATATTATTCAGACACTTATAATAATAAAAATTAATTAATATCATCTATTTTATAAATAAACAATATATTAACTTAAGTGATGGCAAAAATTAAAGTAAATTATATTCAAAATTAAAATTTATAAGGTGACTGTAACGAACCTTTATAAACCGTTAGTACATATCTAAGTAAAGTATTAGTTGCTTGTAAAGGGAAATTATCAGGTCCGCCTCAGAGGAAATTTATTTTTTTGCTAGTACGGTCCAGTTTCAATTTTTCACTAAGGTAACCCTGCCTAGTTTTTTAATTATTTTTAAAATATAAATGCCTAAAACAAAATATATGTTGTTAAACCAAAATAAACAACTATTTATAATCTTGGAAAGTGGTAAAAAAAATTACAAACATTATAATTTATGGGTTACCATTTCTATGAAATATCAGAATTCTTCAAATATATATGTTGTATTCCATAGTAAATCAACCAAAAAAGTCGATTCTCAACCCGACCTCCTTCAATTTTTTTAAAAATTTGTATGTTGGTAGTATATACACTAACTAATAAAAATGTAAAATTTTACTTTTCAAATCGGCTTACTTCATGAGATATGGCCATCTTTAGAAACGCGAAAATTCCAAAATACAGTATATTTAATTTTAAATATCTCAAAAAGTAATTAAGCTGAAGGCATGATTTAAATTTTATTAAATAGCTCTAAAATAGCCCTTTAATATGATATAAAAATTATTTTATTAATAAAAAGTCTATTACCAAAAACCGGAAATAGAAAACCGGAAATAGCTATAAAATAAAAATTGCTCTTTTTTTTCTTTCAAATTTTTTTTACAAATAGACATTATACTTCTTAATATTTGTACAAAATTTTAGATTGGGACCATTACTGGGCCAATAGTTATTACGTTTTAAATATAAATAGCATGGCTTAAATCCTAAATTATACCAAATATATAGTAATTTACGAAACAAATAAAAAGAAAATTCCTTTATGATCGGGCAGATTATATTTTTTTTATAAATGTTTCGGGCTGTGAGCCCACTAGTAAACATTATGTCATATTTAACATATAAGTTTAGCGATTTTATTTTAGAGAGAAAATATTTATAACTTTATTTAGCTAATTATTTATATTACATGAATATCAAATGGAAAATTAATATTGTTATAAACATTAAATTAAATAATATCATACATTAAATTATCTAATGAATTAGAATAACGTTTGACTTTCATTTTTTCCATTAACTTTCATTGATATAAAATTATTCATACCTGGCATAAGTCTGCTGTTTTCGTCAGAATTATAAAATTCTATTACTTTATTTGCAATGTCATCCGGAATTATTCTACTTGGTTTTATGATATTTGGGTTTGACAAAACACCCTTTTCTTCAACTAATTGTTTAGCTGTCCGGGCCATAAAATTCGTGGCTAAAAATTCCTTTTCAATTTTATCATGAGTCCAAGATTTTGGTAAAACTGTTAAAATTTGTATTTTTTCATTGCGAGAACTTGTAGCAAATTTTTCTTTCAGTTGATTTATGATTTCAACTTCATCTTTTTTTGCTTGATCCTCTAGATTTATTTTAAAAACTTTTTTAATTTTTCCCTGAATTTTCAAAAATTTATTTAAAGGATATTTTTTTTCATTTAACCTTTTCTTTTTAATAGGTGTCTTCCCTAAATGGCAAAGTTTCATTTAAAGTTGAAATTGAAGTATTAAAATCTGTATAAGAGTCGGGATTATTGCATGGTTGATCAGGTTCAGAATCGCTAAATGTTTCATTAATAGTTGAGGTAGAAGGTAAGTTAGAAATAGAAGGTAATGTGATCGGGATCGTAGAAGTAAAAGGTGAGATCAGATTTGTTGAATATTTTTTTAATTTTTTCCGGCAAGAGCTACAAATTTTTTGATTAATTGATCAGCTAGAATTCACTTCTATCATCTATTGTAAAACATTTCTAAGATCGTAACGTACTGAATGAGATTTTATTCTAAAGGGATTACAGCACTTTACTGGAATAAAAATATCTTTTCTAGACATTTAAATTTTTTTGGTAAGGAATAAAAGTAGCGATTTATAATTATTTTAAATTAAAAATAAATTGGATAATGAATACCGATAATTTAATTTTCTTAGAAAAATGGCTTTATAAAATTAATCAATATAAATGGCGGCTGTTGCTGTTGGAATTGAATTTGATTTTTATGATAATTATTTTATTTGATAATTAATTATAAGTAGATAATAATCTGTATGAAAATATATTTCTGACGATCACAAAGATAATTTTTTATCAGGCAAAAAAAATAATCTACATAATTCACTCATAGAATTGCCAGATCAAAAATCTCGAATTTAAGAAGAAATTTTTTTTGGGGGGAGGGGCGAATATAAATCTTAAGATGGGGTTCGGATTTCAGTTTTAATACTATTATTCACAAATATTATCACTTTTGTTAAAAAAATAATTACTCATTTCGTGTAATATAGAATTTAAGCCATACTATTTATATTTAAAGCGTAATAACTATTGGCCCAGTAATGGTCCCAATCTAGGATTTTGTACAAATATTAAGATGTATAATGTCTATTTGTTAAAAAATTTTGAAAGAAAAAAAAGGGCAATTTTTATTTTATAACCATTTCCGGTTTTCTATTTCCGGTTTTTGGTAATAAAATTATTTTTAATATAATAAATTTTATATCATATTAAAGGGCTATTCTAGAGTTATTTAATAAAGTTTAAATTATACCTTGAGCTTAATTACTTTTTGAGATATTTAAAATTAAATATGGTGTATTATGAACTTTTCGCGTTTCTAAAGATGGCCATATCTCATGAAGTAAGCTGAGTTGAGAATTAAAATATTATATTATTGCTAGTTAGTGTATATACTACCATCATGCAAATTTTAAAAAAAATCGAAGAGGGTCGGGTTGAATCTTCAGTTGATTTGATATGGAATACAACATATATTTATATAAAAACTTTGCCAAATTTTTTCCAGCCTGAAAGGTTTTTTTCAAACGTTACCCTATTGTAGAACTGTAAAATATATTATATTTATTATATAGTATAATATAATAATACATGATACATAACTTTCATTATTTTGTAATTGAATAGATTAAATAACAGTACCCCCAAGAAAGATAGTTTAGGGGGTAATTATTCCCAACCAAAATCTCCTCCATCAAAATTTTCGATACCCGGAAACCCGCTGACAAATTCCAATTATCAAAGCACCCTGGCGGCATCCCATTATAACCAAGTTATTACTTTTTCATCTTCTTTAAATGTCTCATATTTTATTGTCCCATCTTCAGCAAATATTATTTAATTTCATTTGATGAAGAAATCAAATACACTATTTGAAAGCTCTGGTTGATGTAATTTTCAAGTTAAGTAATGATTAATAATTTTATTTTTTAAATATTTGATTAATGCCTTCGTTATATAGCACGGAACAAATGAGTAATGCTAATTGAGAGGATCTAAAATAAATATAATATCTGCCCATAACAATTAAATTTGGCCAACAACCAATTTTCTCAAAACAACAACAATTTAATTAGTCATACTCACTTAATATATGAATTATAAATAAGGGGATTAAAAATCATTTCTGTTATTCTTTTGCTGACAATTTTAGTATATTCGTTGCTTTATATTAATGGGTTTACTTTTACTTTTACTTAAATTTTATTTTTATTTTTAACGTTTAAAATCTTTTGGCAGCGGCTATTAATTTTCAAATTTAACTCTTTGTAAGTTTGAGGAAAATTTTTTTTTATCTTTAAATTGACGGGTAAATTCTCTCTTTATTTCAATAGTTGCTGATATAATATGTTATTGTAATAGAAGTGATGTATAGTCACGCTTTATTCCCCAAACAATTGGGTAACAGTATTATTATTGACACTAAACATTTACAGAGCAAACACGAAATTTAAAGACATTATTTTTTTTGAGTTAACTTTGATATATAAAACATCTCTTTCTTTCAAAAAAAAAGTCTAAATTTAAAGAGGATAGCAATCGGTTAGCAGAATTAAACGCTTCAGGAGCCGGAGAAGAAGAGGAACAAGGGGGTTTAGGAACCATTCATTTCGGATTATCCTACGATTTTCAAAGTCAAAATTTGATAGTCAAAGTAATTTTTCATTCTTTTTCAAAAAAAAATTACAATATAAATTACGTGGTTTAAATAAAAATTCTTAATTTATCATCTTTTTTTTGAAAAAAACTTTTAAGATATATGAATAATAGAAATGCATTAATGCTTACGAATAGAATAAATTAGTGATCTACATCGTGCCTAATTTTTCAAACCCCGGGTCAGTAAGCTAGGCCCGATCCGAAAGATTTTTTTCTTATTTTTCCCGAAAAGCCAGACTTTAAAATACCGAAGGGTTCTGTCCAGAGTTTATTTAAACATAAAAAAATTTTTAAACATAGTTTTACACTTTTAACACTAAAAACGTAATCAAGTTTTTGATAACACTTTTGATTCCATAAAGTGGCTAATATGCGACTCTTTATAACATTTTTATATGATTATTATGAACTTTTTTTATTCTAGATTCTCCAAGCAAAGGCCCTGCCGGCTAAGGATATAACAGGAACCAGCGATCCTTACGCGAGATTATTTCTACTACCTGACAGAAAGAGCAAAATGGAAACCAGAGTCAAAAAGAAATGCCTCAATCCCATATGGAACGAAACATTTTTATATGAAGGTAAAGGGGCATCATAATATTAGAATTCATAGCATTTATAATAAGCTTGAATCAGCAGCGAAGTATACAAAATATCATATAAATATAATAATTTTACAAATTTTTATATATTTTGCTGCGAATTCGCGCTAACTGTGAATGCAGGGTAATAGAGTTTATAAGATCTATTATATAAGAAAAGATAAAAAATAGTGCATTCACACTTATCATAATTTTAGAGGAAATTGTTGTGATTGAAAGATTGAAACTTTATTTTACTTTAACCTTTAAAAAGAAGACTGAAAAGAAAATTGAATTTTTTCCCTTAAAATATTATTTTAGAAACTTTTGAGAAAACCGACAATTTATTCTATACTTCTAAAAGTTATAAATTTTTCATTTATTTTGAAATTTAAAAAAAAAAATCGATTTTAAAAAATAAAAAACAAAAGGCTTTCCTTATCACAAATTACAAAATCGCATCCTGAACCTACAAGTATTTGACTACGACAGATTCAGCAAGGATGATCCTATAGGGGAAATTTTCTTACCTTTAAACGAAGTGGATTTATCTCAATTTCCTCATTACTGGAAAAAGCTCATTCCTATGGATAAATCATCGGTTAAATTTTTAAAAAAAGAATAATATTTTTTGCCGAGAAGTTCAACATGTTAAATATAATTGAACCTTTTAATGTAATATTATTTTAGAACTAGATATAATAAAATATTCATTAAAAAAAAACTAGTGGTAAATTGAGATATTATTATTTCATACATTAGGAATATATAAAGGGATGGTTAAAAGGCTAAATCAGAACAAGAATAAAAATGTGTTATAATAAATTTAGAATATATTTATTATAATATATAGGCCTATTTTTAAATAAGTAAGGAATTTAGAAAGCGATATAAAATACTTTAACTGTATGCGGGTTATAAGACTAAAAGCATATATTTTATTTTATATAGAAAACAGGCGAGATTTTGATGACATTCGTATATCTTCCAGGTCCAGGTAAATTGAATATCGATGTAATCAGATGCAAAAACCTCAAAGCCACCGACATGATTGGCTCCTCGGGTAATTAAAAATCCATTTTGGACATATTATTTTTAATAAACATGCATGCATTATGGGTTCAAAGGTAGTCTCAATTTTAAATGCTTTATCGATGATAATTTAATTATATATTTTTTTTATCATTGGAAATGTATTTCGACATGTATATTTTACCCACACCATGTATTTTAGACAATTCTTCCCTGAATTTTTGAACTATTTATTTTAGGTTTATTTTTTAATTTTTATATCTAGTAACATATGCTGTGCCAGATTCGACTTAATTTAGATACTAAATTACTTTTTAGTAAATGCTAAAAAGCTTTTAATCTAGGACACCTTATTTTGGTTTGTTTTAAGTATTTGATGACATTTCTGATATGTTATTTTGTGATAATCAATATGTATCTTAATGTTTATATAACATTGTTTAAGGCGTTATTTTTATATTGTATTTTGTTCAATTGGGACTTGAATGTTACGTTTATTTTGAGTTTAAAAGTTAATTGTTTAAAAATAAAATAATTATAAATAAAAAGAACATGTTTTATATAAAGATTAGATTGAAATTTCATAAACTTAAATATTATTATTGTGTCACCATCAATTTTATATCGAAACAGTTCCCACATATTATTGACCACAAACCCCAATGTATTGCGATTTCCCCCGATTGCAACATTTTCTTATTTTTCGTCTTTTATTATCGTTTCCTGTTATTTCTCAGGGTTCTGGACCCGAAATGGGGTTCAGTAATTTTAAACTCGTTTTAGCGGAAATTTTGATAACAGAAACTTAATCAAAGCCAATTTTATAAAAGAGATCTGAACACGCCCTCAGTTCGTATTACCCTGTTCTATTGACTCCGTTTAGTCTGTGGTTTCATAATGCCTAATCAAACAATTTTAAACTTCTTAACCCAATTTTTGGGTAATTTATTTTTTTTTCGTTTTTTGTAAAATTTTTTCATTTAATCTTTTTGGCTATATCGACATACAAGCCAGCCATATTGCTTTTCAATGTCGCGTCATTTCTATATTTAATTAATTTTTGAAAAAAGTCGCTATTTATTTGAAAAGGGTAAGCAATTTGAATAATAAAGTTATAAATTTTAAAAAAAAAATACATAAAAGTTAATAGCAAAAATTGTCTGAAATTCATGGGGTAGTTATAGGTATACTCTGCATACTGGAATAGTACATTATTTGGTCGAATTCAAATTTATTAAATTTTCAAAATCGTTTCCGGTAAATGATTTAAAATTGAGAGATTCTGAATTTCCGTGGATTCCATATGCCAGAAAAAAAACTTTATTCTTATTGGATTGAAAATTTTATTTTTCTCTTTTACATAATAAATTTAATCGATAATATTATATCTATTTTAAATGCGTGCGCGCTTTTATTGTATATCCTCCCTTAAACCAGATCCCTACATAACCCTCTGGCTCCTAGAGAACGGTAAAAAAATGGTTAAATGCAAGACTCAAACCAAATTTAACACGCTTAACCCGGTTTTTCAAGAAAGTTTTACCTTTTCCGTTCCCACCGAAAAGATACGCCATGTATCCGTACTCGTAACGGCCAAGGATTACGATAAATTTACCAGGAACGATACTATTGGTTCCTTCCTCCTTTCCTCTCGAAGTAGTCCTATGGAGATGAAACATTGGAAAGATATGCTACTCAACCCCGGAAAACCCGTGACACAATGGCACTTTTTTAAGAAAACTTGAAGCAAAACATTACCGCGTTAAGGAAAAAAAAAATTTTTCCACCCCAGTTTATGTAATTATTCTTTTAATGCATAGAACATAAGTTATATATTTTTTTTCTTTGCCAAGTAAAATAGGAGGATAATCTTTTTTTTTTGTGAAAATTCAAAGAATTGTTATATACCAAAGATGAAAATTAAAGTGCATTATTTATACATAAAAACACATTCACTTATGTACCTCATTCATGATCATTTTATCGATTTAAATATTTTAAATTATTTTAGTCATAATTTTAAATCATATTTTAAAAAAAGAATTAGTATAATTAACTCAAAGAATATCATAAAAGCAATATAATTTATTCCTTAAAAAAAACTTCTCAAAAAATATTATGAAAAAACCAGAAAAAACATATTATTTTTTAACGGCAAGCAAAAAATTAATGGTAGGATAGCGGAAAATTACAAGATTATTTAAAAAAAATAATACAATATAACATAATTTTTCATCTGAAACTTTATTTTAGAGAACATTAAATATTTTGTCTAACGTTTACTGGGACATTTGATTTCTTTTGAAAATGTCCTCTTATATTTATAATAAAACCAAAATTTACACAAGAAATTTAGGTTATTTAGCATTCTCTTCTCTAGAGCCTAATGTTTTCTTAAACTATCTTCCATTTCTCCTAATTATGAGCACCCTAAGCAGCTATTCCTTTTTTTTGAAAATAAATGCTAAATTTGGTGATAAAATTACTCATCTAATAATTTAGAATTAAAAACTTAGTGTGATAGATGTTTATTTTTTTTTGTGCCTTTAAGACATCCTCAAAAAAATATTTAAAAAGTATGCCCTATTCCACCCATTTCTTTCTCTTTTTCTTTCACTTGAAAGGGTAGTTTAATAAATTATAATTTTTGCAAAATACTCTAATCTTACGTGATATTACATAGTCAAATGCTGAATATATTTATTATAATTGTTAAGGTATATTTAAAATAAATAACAAAAAAATATATGTATATATATTATAAAATTATAATAATTATTGTAAAAATATGTATACAAAAAATTACGCGTATAAATTAACAACAATGAGGTAACGGAAGTGTTGAAAATATTTTCAAAAAAAATTAATAATCTCTTGAATATATTCCCAATGGCTTGCGTAAGAGAGAAAATATGATGGGTTATCTCCTCTCCTTACGTATATTTTTTTTATTACAAATACCACTCTACTCCATATTTAGAAAATTTCACATGCGCCAATGTATATCCAGCAGAATAAATTATTTTTAAATATTTTTCTTAGGTTTTAGTTGATATCTATTGCCAAATATTACATTCTATAAAATCTACTCAATTATAACCCTAAAAGTTATATTATATACTAACATCTAACCCTATTCCGCTGCTCAATCTCGGCATATAATATACACCAAATTGTCATAATATGTTTTTAACGGTTATAAATGTGTTTTTTTTATATATTAGATATATACACTTTAAATATATATTATTATATAATACATCAAGACTTAATATTTTTTGATATTTATGAAACACCACTCCAAAATATAATAGTTTAAATTACCTTATAAGAGGGATTTTAAAAAAAAACAAATAACAATCGTATCCTGCTATAATCATTTTCACTTATGAGATATAATCATAGTAATCTTTTAATTCCATTGAGTTTATTTGAATTAGAAATGATGAATGTTAGGTTTGAGACTTATACGGGGAACATTAGGGTAACCAGACTTACTTAACAGGCCTACTTGTTTAGTATAGTTGTCATAATCAAAGATGTGTTAGGAATTGTTACAATAGCTCGACAATAAAAATTCGGTTTTAATTAGGGTCTTTGATTATTCTAATTTTAAATATACAAATCGATTAGGACTCGCATCAAATTTTTTATTAATCTTTTAAAGTTATATTCTGGCTTCTAATATTTATGAGAGCTGATTAATCTTCTTACACTTTGATGCTAAACTTTGTGTCTGCATAGATTTCCACTTGGTGTAGCTTTTTTAACATCTTTTTTTGGCATTGATATAATAACCATAAATAAACACGTTTCTATACATCAATTTTGTTAATTTAAAAATTTATATTAAGTTAATATGAACTTTAGACAAACATTCTTCATTATCACCAATTTTATTTATATATTTTTATTTTATCACATTTTGACATTTTAAAATAATTTGTCACTTTTTTTACTGCCTTAACAAAAATAATTTAAATAAGAATTAATTATTAAAATAAATTAAAAACATTAAAGTAGAGTTTATTTTATTTATGTTTAAAATATGAAAGCTATAAATTAATTTTATTCTAAGATAAAGTGTTTCTAAATTGGAATTCGGGGACCCCAGCTAGTCACGAGAGATTTTTTTCCACTTGTGCAAAGAAGGGTTAGTTGCGAATCGGATGAAACAAATTTACTAGATAAATTTTAGGATAAATGTGAAGGTTATTTTCAAGTGTAACTTTCATATCAACAATCAAGCATTTAATCACCCCATAAGAAATTGATATAGTAACCCCCTACAAAAAAAAACAGGCAAATCCAAATTAACGAAAAAGGGGAAATTAAAATTTACAAAAAAATAAGAGAAATTTTAATCAAAATTAGCACACCCCCTATCCCTTTACATTTCTTTTTCCCCTTATCCCTTTTATTATAATGGCAATGACGTCTTCACAACTCACTATCTCCCTTCAATTGCCCAATATTAAATTTATGAATAATCGAAAACCTTTCCAATTGTAATTAGACAAATTATTTTACTCAATTTCTAATCAATATCATATAAATATTTTATATAATGATCTTAAATTTTTGCGTACTCCAAATCCATTTAAAATACACCCATATTAATGTAGATAAATTTTTTTAATTGAATCGAAGGATATTGGATTCATGATGAAAAAAAAACATTTTAAAATAGTAAAACTATCATAAAAAAAAATTATTCTAAAACTTGTTTAAAATTTAAATATCATGTTATATGCAAAATGTTCATTAAAGATAAAAAATAATTTGGCCCCGACATTCCCACTTAAATGATTTATAAAGACGTTTATAATTTTGCGACAAATTAAAATTTTAAAGGCTATCACTATAACTCACGTAACCAAGTAGCCCTCCCCCCCCCCCCATAACAAATTTATCTGTTCTCGTAAATATCATTTTGAGTTTTAAAAATAAAGACGATAATTCAAAATTTTTTAAATTAGCCAAACTATATTAAGTTGCAGTGGCGTAGCTAGGAATTTTCCTTAGAGGGGGTCCATACATATAAAAGCCTGGGGGGCTTCGCCTCCCAGACTCCCCTTAATTTTTTATAATTTAGTAGATTATTCTCAGTGACTTTATAATAGTACTATCCAGAATAATTTCAATAATAATATAATATCCTTCCACAAACATCAAAACCAGGAAAATATAAATATTATTGGTATTTATTTGATATAAAGTCACCACTTAGAAGTCTTTTGAGCGTATATTCTAAAAATAAATTTTTGCTCTGAGAGGGGTCCAAACCCGAAAACCACCCCCATAGCTACGCCACTGTTAAGTTGACTTAAAGACTCCAATAAAATTTATGGTAGGAAAAACTGACTTAATAGGGCCCCCTCCTTAGAAAAATCCTGGCAACGCCTTTACTACTTTTGAACAAAATGTTGCGTATTATATAGGGTACAATAAAACAAAGAACGATTCACGATCAGCATTTATAACAAAAACAATCTCTATCATATTTTAAGTGGCTAAAAATATAAATCAAAGATTATAGTTAATGGTAAAGTTGAACTCAATTTCAATCTGATATGTCAAATCTGATAAGTTAAACGGGACCAAGTTCTAAAAAATAGTTTGATCTACTATGCGTTTATTTAACTAATTAGATACATTTTTAACCTTTATCACAATATTTTTTATACATCATTGAAGTGTTCATTTAAACTAACTAAATAAAAATATATAAACCTTAGCATACTATACATACAATATAATTGACCGAAAACACTCATTGTTTAAAGCAAATTATATTATATAAAAAAAAATTTTTTTAAATAAACGAGAAAATAATGATTGAAGAATATATACTATTATTATTAATCTCCCAAACTTACGGGCTTTACTATAATAACATCGCGAACTTTAAAAATAATTAATCATAATAGTATTATTATGTTGGTTCACTGTTTTGGCATTATGAAGGCCCGCTATTTAAATGGTAATAAGATTTCGGCGTTTTCTTATCTTGATTAATATGTATCCTGGATGCGTTAGGGTCAGCTATTGCAAAGATTTTTATAAAAAAAAAATTACATAAATTTAAGATAGCTAATAAAGGAAATAAATAATTTCTGCGTTCAGTTTTCTATTTTATTAGACCAGAAGTCAGAGAAAAAATATACAAATATTTAATAAGGAGTAAAATATAGAAGTTCAGAATGAAAAATTTTTTATTGAAAGATTTAAAAATTTAATACTTTTTAACTTAAAATGAAAGTTAAATTTCAAATTTAAGGCCAAAAAAATTTTAATTTTCGGTAAAGGAAACTCTAATTCTTCAACTTTTATGAATTTAAACGATATTTTAAAGTATTAAAAAGAAAAGTTATGCAAAAATATAATAAATGGAATAATTTACATCTACGCTGACTTTTCCTAAAGAAGCTGAGTTGACGTTATTGATATAGCCCCTATGGTAATAATGGTAACCCGCCCTTTCGTGGTGGGGAAATATTATGAGATGATGAACCATTCCGGTTCCAAGGTCTCCAGAACCTAACACTTCAGATCTTCGGGTCCCAGAAATTCCTATATCACCTTTATCGGCTTTTACGCAACTAACCCATCTACCATCTTCACTCATAAATCCTAATATATAACATTTTACCATGTAAAGTGATCCCACTATTAAAGTAAAAATTAAAATGTGTCATTTCAAAAACCTAAAATTATCTTAAAGCCTAAAATGTATTTTTTCTTTGTAAAAAAAATACTCAAATTTAAATATTGTCATTTTTAGAGTATATAGATATAGGATATTAAGTAATTATTATATATTATAGCAATAAATATTTTTTAAAACCTTTAGGCCATGTCTGATTCTTCATATTTTTGAAACTTATTTCTGTTTAGCGCAGCCTACTTAGATTTTGAACAATTTCCCATTACTTTGGTTTGTTTTAAAAGTATGTTTTAGGGTATTTAGAGGAAACTATATAGATCGTCTAAACAGATCTCTGTTTATAAATTAAACAATAGGACATGGCCTTAAGGCTCAAGCTCACCCAAGCTCATCCATTTTCTTTTTAAAATTTATAATATTTATTCTGAATAGGGATTTTTAGATTTGAAAAAATTGGATTTTATACCGTATTTTGAAAATACCACCTTACGTCAAAATATACAATTATAAAATAATAAGATATGTTAAAAAAAAGAAAAGAGTAAACTTATGTCAGAGTTAGTTTGCGTAAATTTGGATAATTCTAATTCGATATCGCAATCT